TGATATGAGAACTTCAGATGAATGCCTGAAATATTTTGTTGGTCTTTGTAAGCTGTGTAGGAGAAAGAAAGACAGCCGGGCTATAGTGGTGCATGTCTTTAATCCCAGCATGCAGGAGGCAGAGGCAGGTGGATCTCTGTGAGTTCAAGTCCAGGACTGATCTACAAGCGCTAGTTCCAGGACAGCCTCCAAAGCCACAGAGAAACCCTGTCTCAAAAAAACAAGAAAAAAGAAGTAGAAGTTGGAGGAGAAACTGGCAGAAATAATAAAATGGAAAAGAAGGAAGAAGAGGAGGTAACAGAAAATTGAATAGAGAATTAGCTCTAAGAAATTGTAGACAGATATTACAGAAGAATTAGAATAGAGGCAGAAGAAAAAAGTTACAATAAAAGAGACATTGATAGAAAGATCATATTGAGAGTAGATTCTGTTTCCCTCACATTTTAGTTCCTTCACTTCTCATGACTCCTTTTTTTGAACCCTGAGAGAAAGGTTTGGAAGCAGGCATTCTAAAGTGTTCAATACTCATTCAACTTCAAGTTGTTTCATAAAACAAGAAAAACCTAACACAACAGCAAGTTTCTCTGATGCTGTGAAGTAGAGCCTCCAGCAGCATAGGGTTTGAGATGGATAATACCCTACAGAGTCCTCAGATGTGTATTTTTTATCTGAAGGAATAACACTTAATTATCTAAGACTGGTAAGTGGGGGTGACTAACTTAACTCTCTGGGGACTGTGAAAGAGATAACAGGCACACACATATTAAGGATATTTCTATCATCTTATGCCTCAGTTATATCTTTAGTTTTCCTTTACAGCTTACATATCCCAACATTTTTGAGGCAATATAAAATTACAATGTGGTTACAATCTATTTTTCAAATGGATGATTTGAAATGACTCATTTCAAGTAATGAATACAGGTAGAAAACTTGTCTCCCATTTATACATGATTAAACAAAGTCACTCCCAGAGCCCACATACTTTCACAGCTAAATAACTTGTTATAGATTAAAAGAGTGTGACCAAGCAGATCCTTTACTGGCATACTGCATATTGTGGTTACAAAGAATGAATTGATCACTTTGTTACTTATCTTGAAAGGCAATATTATAAGGAATCTTAACAGCATCACACACCTAAGCTTTCATATATGAAAAACTGCTAAACTTCAAATCTTTAGGGTACGTACCTACTTGCCAACAATATATATCAAGAAGTTGAGGCCACAAATGAGTACAGGGAATTAATCATAAACTTTGATCACCTTCCAATCCTAACAAGAAAGACATATAAGGTAATAATAATTGAGTTGCTTTTGCTCATGTTCCCTGAGCTTAATGTGTCTCTCACTTGGCTAGGTGATTTTCAAAAACTTTAGATTGTTTTCCTGGGTTTTTCACCTCAAAGTTCTTTGACAAAAACCTCTTAGTCTAACCTTAAGCCATTTCCCCGAGCTTTGTTTTAAACTGCCCAGTCCCCCATTTTAGCAGCCATTACAGGCTAACATGTGCTCACCTGACGTTGCTCCTCCTGTCTTGGTCACTAGGAAGTCAGATGCCCTCCTCATGGCAAGGAACCAACCAGAAGTTAGCTGGCAGTGCTGTGCTTTACAGCCCTGGGTGTGCTTTACAGACAAGTGCATAACAGTGACATGCAGAACATAGCAACTGTCCTGAAGGGCATATGGGCCAAAAAAACCAGTTACCCAATCAAGACGGGCAGGTCATCCAAGCCTGGAAGCACACCAATCCTGAGACTGTTGCATACCCCTACCCACTCCCCTTACACTGCCCTTTAAAATCCATGCCTTGTGATTTCTCAGGGTCCTTCTCCAGCCATTCACTGTGGTGAATGGATGAAATGCCCAAGTTAATGGGGTTAGCTTGTTAAACAACTGCAATAAAAGACTCTTTGTGGGCTGGAGAGATGGCTCATCCGTTAAAGTCTAGGCTCACAACCAAAAATATAAGATGGTTTTCTTTGCATCGAAATGGGCCTCGTGGTGATTTGTGGCTTCAGTATTTGGGCGCAACAGTTTCAGCTATGATGCACTCTGAACCTGTGATCAAGTCTCCCAGCAATAATATTAAAAGAATTTAATATATCTGGGCTTCTACGACTCAGTTGTTTTTCTTGATCATTAATCTATGCCACAGGCTATGCGGCTCATCAAGAGAAACAAATTGTGTGACATTTCCCCATTTTGCTGTCTATCCTCTGAAACCTCTGCTTTATCATGGGCAAGGACAACGTTTTATCCTACCTTTACCTATATTAACTTTTCCACTAAAATATCCTCTATCATAATCCCTTACAATATTTATTAAAAACCATTATTATCATAATTCTACTTAAACTGACACTAGTATTGTATAAAATCACTGTTTCAGTTAAAAAGTACAGCTTATGAGGAAATCATCTTCATAACACTCTACAGGGAAAAATACCCAATAGAATGTGCTATCTGCAAGACATGAACATATTGCATTAAGGGCAGTGTAGAATATCCTTAGGCCCAATCACACCATGCCAGACACCAGAGAAAAATGGCAGTGGCAAAAATGCAAAGACACAGCAGTAACAAGAAATATTCTGTGGCTGAGGCTCTCTGGGGCCCTTGCCTACCAGAGATTCACCCATTGAGGTTTTGTTTCCTGTTGACCCAGCTTTGTGAACCTTAACTGCCACCTGGTGCTCCTAGGACATGGACACCAGCAAATTCTTATTTTGTTTTCTTGAATAGTTTAAGAACTGGTTATAAATATCTGCATGTCGGGTAGGATTCTTCTAAGAATTCAACAGTTCCTGGATTTTTTTTAACATGGACAAATTTGAATCACTGTTTCTTTTTGTTTATTTATTTTGTCATTTTACATATTAACCTCAGTTCCCACTTCTCCCCTTCTCCTGCCCCCCAACCTCCCACCACCCTTCATGCCTGAGTAGGGGTAAGTCCTTCCTTGAGGAGGCAACAAAGTCTGGCATATCAAGTTGAAACAGGACCGAGTTCCAACGCCCATATCAATTCTGAGCAAGGTAACCCACCATAGGGAATGAGCTCCAAAAAGTCAGTTCCCTGGGATAAGTCCTGGTACCCCTTCCACCTCCCACACCACAATAGATCAAGTCTCAGAACTGTCACCTACATTTCTCCATCATTATCTTTACTACCCTTGCTTATAAGACCACTCCTCCCTCTCTTCAAGTGAACTCATGGAGCTCAACCCAGTGCTTTGCAGTAGGTCACTCCATCTGCTTCCATCAGTTACTGGATATAAATTCGATGATGACAATTAAGGTAGTCACTAATCTGATTAAAGGAGAAATCCCATTCAGAGAGCCTCTCCACTACTGCTAAGAGTCCTAGCAGGGGTCATCCTTGTGGATCCTGAGTGTTTCTCTAGCATCAAGTTTCTCTCTAATGTCATAATTGCTGGATCTATCAAGATCTCCTTCATTGCTCCCCCCCTTGTCTCTCAATTCCCTCATTTGTGATGTATTTCTTTAAGTCATTGAGTTCTTCTTGGTTTCATTTTGGTGGTTTGGCTGATCCTAGAAATTCATCCATGTCTTTTATATTTCCCAGCTTATGGAAGTACAGGCTTTTCAAAAAGTCTCATAATATTTTGAATTTCTTTTATAGCTGTGAAATTGTTCCCTCTGTGTGTCTGATTCTGTTAATTTGAGTCATCTCTTTCTTTTAATTAGATGAACCAAAGACATGTAAATTTTTATTATATTCTCACAGAACCAGCCCTTAGATTTGCTTCATTTTATATTGTTTACTTTATATTTGCTGATTCTTATTCTAGTTTTTATTTCTTTTGATTGACTAATCTGGATTTGGTGTGGACCACTATTGCTTAAATACTCAAAATACTCTAAATTCTATCAAAGAGTCACTTGCACATCTATGTTTGTTGCAATAGATAAACAAAGAATAGGACCACTCTGAGAGCTATCAGCAGAGGACAAAACTGGAGAAAATATGGTATGTATACACAATATAATTTCTTCCACTAAAATATGCCATTTGTAGGTAAATGGGTGAATCTGTCTCTCTTCTCTCTGTGTATGTTTGTGTGTGTGTATGTGTGTGTGAGTGAGAGAGAGTGTACATGTGGGTGTGTTGAAACTAAAAAAGAACCATGATAAGCACCTATTTCTGAAGACACCCCTCATTTGCTGCAGGATATAGGGAAATTAATGTAAAACTTACTGGAAATTTTCTGCTCTAGTATTATTAAGTTAACTAGTGGAGAGGAGCAAGAGCTCTTAGAGAGCAAGGTGAGAACTGGAGGTAAATATTAACATAAAAAAGAAAAAATAGAATAATTTGGGCTGCAGCAAAATGGGACAGGAGGATTTGAAGTGTATTTTCACAGAAGGACAGAAAAGAGCAAAGTTTCTATGAAAATGCCATCCTAAAATTGATTTACTTTACATACTACCTTTAAGAAAGTAATAAAAACTATTTTTAAATGTACAGATTTTTAGATTATTACTTTTTGAAGGTTATAAGTATATCATTTCCCCATTCTCTTTCCTCCCTCCAAACCTTCACATATACTACTTGCAGAATGATTTGATCTCATTGAAATTAGTGACTTTTAACATACAAGTATTTTTAAAGAAGATATAAAATATATAAATACATTGAATGATAACTAGAAGTTTCCCTGAGAAGGAACCATAAGATTTCAGTGAAGTATTTTTCTTTTCTTCCTTTTTTCACTTCTAATATTAAGAACCTCTGAGAGACTGTGATGAAATGAAGCAATGTGTGTAATTGTGAGCTCTGGGCATTCAATCTCCAAGGTCATAAAAAAGTCAATAATGACCACAGGCCATCGACCTTGCAATTTGGAGTCTTGAGTACAGTGGGGACAGAGAAGTACATCAGGGGTTTATTTTATTATATATTTACATCAAGCATAAGAAATAAACCAGAGCCTTACATAGACACAAGACAAAGAAGTTACTTTGGATCTTGATTATGACCCAGCAAAGAATCATTTTAACCATGTAAGTGTTGAGTGGGGTGGATGATGGAGAAAAACCCTTGGAAGCATTGGCTTATCATCATAAGAGAAAAGTTGGTGAAAGGAACTGGCTGTATGGTGAGTGGGGGATTTTATATTCTGTGTTGTATTATGGAGGACTGATACATAATTCAATATGATTTCCTTCCTCGTGGATAGTATTGTCACACATATCTAACACATCAAAGCTAAAAACAGCTTTTTCCTAAGTATTTTTACAATATTATGAATGTGATTTAAAAAGAGGATGGTGAATAACCACCACATAATGTCTATTTCCCATTGCCATCAGATGAGTCCTTCAAAAGTGTTTGCTATGAAATCCTGTTGTTATGAAAAAGAGCAAGAACAGTAGGTATAGGAGTCCACCAGTATCATCTGGCACTATTACTGAAGGATTTTGAGTTTGGGGTTCTGACCAGTGTGTTCTGTGCATCTTATTTCTCTGCATTTACCTAATCACCTCCAACTCAAAAGTAATCAGTTCATTTCCTGGTAAACAAGAAGTACAGTCTTTGTATCAGTTGTGCACAAGAGTATTAAATTTTAAAAAATATAGTAAATCGTGCTTGAAGTGTATCACCTGACTATGGACAGAGACGTCTTTTCAAAAGTGCCTAGCTTTGTTACCCCTCAAAATAATCTCACTCATGTTTCATTTCCTGTAAACCCAGGACACTCAATATTTTTCCTTTTGTGATTCTACATACATCCCATTTGGAGACATTAGCTGCTTCCACCAGGTGGATATCCCATAGACCACAGGCAAAGAACACAAAGAATTAGACACATAGTTATTCAAGGCAGATGTGCCTGCCATGGCCTCAAAAATATCCTTGAAAGTATGCCAGCATGTCTAGAACTCAAAAAAACATCATATGCTTCAGATACGCTATGCAATGATACTAATGGTTACCCACTAAAAACATACCTGTAAGTAACATTGTGCAAACTTAGTAGATTGCACTCACATATTTAGTGGTTTTGTGTGTGTGTGTGTGTGTGTGTGTGTGTTTGCCTAACAACAATTAATTAAAACAAAGACCATGAATTTGAAAAAGACCAAAGAAGGCTATACAGGAGGGGGGTGCAGGGAGAAATTGGAGGTTGAAATGATGTAATTAAATTACAATCTCAAAATCTAAAGAAAATGTAAAATACATTGGTCTAAAAAATACAATATTTTTCTATGTTTAGCATATAACTCTGAAAATACATTGCATGTATTTTTGCTTTAATCACATCCTGCAAACAGCAATGTGGATAAATTCTGTTTCATATTATTATAGGAGGAGATAACTAAATAAAAACAGTTGAGAAAAATAAGAAAGGTTATTTCACCAGACCGAGCAATAATTTACATTTGAGTTAATTTAGCTTTCCTTTCTACTTCTATAATGCTTGGAAAACTGTTAGTATCTCTGAGACTTGGTGTATCCATCTGTGAGGATTTCTCATTCATATAGCTGCACTGAATAATATCAACAGATGAAGGGAATCTCAGTGTGTGACAAGTATGTATTTTTAAATATAGGTAAAGAAAATGTTACATGTTATGAATATATATACATATTATTAATATATATTACTTTTCATTAAATTTTAATAAAAATCATGAAACCTATTTATGATTTCTATTTTTGTAATGAAAGTTTTCATTATGCCTCATATATAACAATTCTGTAATAAATGAAAGACAATAATTTTAACGTTTTCTTTTCCAATTCCCGAGAGCCTACATTATGGTCACCACAAAAGATGTTTCCAAAAATTTATGTCATCATTAAAGACCCTGTCTTGGCTCACAAACATTGGTCATAGTTAATGTGACTTCAAAACAGTAGGTATTTCTTCTCTATACCTTTGTCTCCTTAAAAAATGCTCCCATAAGAACAAAAGAAAGAAATTTTTATCTTTAAAGGCATTATAAAACTTGTTACTCAATCTTTATGACACAAATGTTGACAGACATAAGAAATTTACAAGACAGAGGAAGTGTATTCTTTTGTAACTTAGTCTAAAGCACATTTTAGAATATTTTATCAGCCTGAGCAACAATGCCTTTGAAAACTGTGTCACTCAAAACTTTTATTTATCCCCGGTGAGGGCACACTAGTCCAGCCAAAATGAAAAGAAAAATAATGGTCCCTCAAATAACTAACACTAGATTTACCTTATGATTCAACTATAGCACTCACAGGTACCAAAAGTACTCTAAATCAATACAGGAAAAAACACACATTATCAGCTGTAATAAAACAAAATGTGTTATTTGAAAAAAAAATGAAGGGAGATATCACATTAAGCAAATTAAGCCAGGCTCAGATAGACATATTTTTTCAATAACAAAAACTATGGTGTGTTCAGTTGTACCAGTAATTACAATTATTTGTAACTACTCCTGTTTGTGACATTTGTACTTTATATAGATGTTTAAAATGAAGGAAATACATTTGATAGGAAATCATAAGTGTAACTGATAAAAAGATTAATGAGTAGGCAATTAAGGGTAAATCAGGGACTGTATTCCTTATGCAGTATATATTCAAATAAAATGTCTTAGGTGGCACAAAGCCCTGCACAATGAATATATGCAATGAATATTTCAAATTATTGTTTCCATACTGCTAAAATTCTCAAGGAGAAAAACACACACTGGTGAGACTTTGCTGTCTTTAGAGACTGTAAATAATGCGCAGTTGGGCAACATTCTCTAGTACAGATACAGAAAGGAGGACGGGTTCATATACTATATATTGACTCCCTTATATTACAAGGTCAATGACATGGGACTAAACCACATACATCCTGATTCCTATCCCTCATCGCTGTCTGCTCTTCTGAAGCAATGAAGAATATCATTCCTTATGGAAGATGGAATTTCTTAGTGAATTATAAAGGAAGGATTATTACAAAGTGGATTTTAGGGATACCATCTGTTTAGAAGAAGCATGATAATTTTGGGGATTTGGGGTCGGTAACAACTGTTTGTAATTACTTTTAAAACCATACATGTCCCAATTTTGGAATCAATCAGCTATCGATCATCATATTAATAAAGAGACTCAAGAGATTTTATTGAAATAATTATTCTCATGCAGTATCTTGCGATCATAGTTTCCCACTCCTATCTCCTCCAAATCCTCTAATTTCCCCTAACCACCCAATTCCCTTGCACAGCCACTCTTTAGAAACAAACAGGAAAACAAAACCTGAATTAAAAGAAAGAACACAAAACACACACACAAACACAAGCCCTAAAAATGGAAGACCAGAAAGCATAAAAGTCCTAGAAGAGCAAAACAAATGCCCAAGTGAGAAAAGAGACTCAAGACTTTTGAAAGTAGTCTAAGTTCAGTTGGTAAGGTACAGGTTGAGAACCTGAGTTTGAATATCAAATGTCAATGTAAAAGGCAAGAATGACAGCATATCTCTGTAACTCTAGTATTGGGGGAGGGGAGGAAACCTAAAAACTTCAGGTACTTGCTAAGGAAGATGAATCCAGCATTCTTCCTGCCAGTCTGGTCCCAGAGCCACATCAGTTTCAAATGAGCACGCAGGACATTATGTTAATTATGAAGCTATTGGCCATTTGCTTTGGTCTCTTGTTGGCTAGCTCTGACTTAATTATTAACCCATAACTGCTAATCTGAATATTTCCACATGGTCTTCTCTTACTGGCGAAAGGGTCCAGACCTCTTACTCCTCTGGTATCCTACATGGTGACTGAATGTGCCTCTGTTTCCCAAAATCCTCCACCTCTCCTAGTCCCACCTACCTTGTTTTCCTATTGGCCAACAGTGTTTTATTTATCAATAAGATAAATTATACAAAGAAGGACTTCCCCCATCAGAAATTTTCCATAGATAAACCATAGATAAAGGTATATATCTCACTTGAAGATATTAACAGGAAATCAATTCCTGTTATTTAAATCATTTCCTGTTACAATTCCAAAGGTATTTTTCATTGTAAGTCAAGAGAAGAAATCAACTCACAAATTACTAAGATCTCAATTTTTCTATGGATAATTCAGAATCTATGTAATAGTACTTCTGAAACAGACATTATTAAATCATCATGCTGTCTTTTGAGTCAGTGAAGGCTACTGATAGCAGTAAACAGTTAATATGTCATATCATCCAGGGAAGGGTCTAGGCCCTCCCATATGTGTCTAGAATGAGAGAGCATCCCCCTATGTGGAATGGGCTCCCAAAGTGCATTGATACACCAGGGGAAAATACTGAAATATACATACTCCTCATCGACACCTATGTTCTGGGGGTGTGGATCAGTCCCATGCTGGCCTCTCAACCGTCATTCTGGGATCCATGAGATCAAACTTGTTCAGGTTTTCCTAATTAATGTAGCACAGGATTTTTAAATATTCCATTATAGCAACTACTTTGTCTGTCTAAAAGGATCATGCTAAGCTAATGTACAAAATAATACAACTTAAGTCATTTGTGTTTTCATAAAATAATCTCATACAACAAAAAATTCACTGTCTTAAGAAAAATGTATATTCTGCTAATATATTTGCTGTAATCAGAATGATTTTTCAAAGTGAAAGGATATTATTTTCTTCCCTGTGTCATCAAAAAATGGTTGTATATTACCATAATCTTAACCTTGTGATTTGTAATCTCCTTCATTTTAAAACTCTCATGAGTTTACCTCATCACAAATAGATTTGTATGAAAGGACATGTGTAACTTGGAAACACATGAAGAAAGTTGTTGATTATTGTCATGATGCTGCATGTGAAGAACCTCAAGTTAGCACATTTTACTTGTAACAAGTTGAACTTAAGATATATGGGTTTCCACCTTTTGAAAATATTTTTTACTTTTGAGAGTACAATTAAGTCATACCTTATTTTATGTATTTTTCCAATTAATTTTCTTTATCCAAAGGTGTTCAAATAATACAGCACAAAATCTACCTGTTGTCTTGCAATTCCAACTCATGAGCCTCTCAGAGGATCCAGAACTGCAGCCCCTCCTCTTCGGACTCTTCTTACTCATGTATATGGTCACAGTGGTTGGGAACCTGCTCATCATCTTGACTGTCATCTCTGACTCCCACCTCCATACCCCCATGTATTTCTTTATCTCCAACCTTTCCTGGTCTGACATCTGTTTCATCTCAACTACAGTACCAAAGATGATTTTGGATATTCAGACGCAAAGCAGAGTCATCTCCTATGTGGGCTGCCTAACACAGATGTCTATGTTCATAATTTTTGGGTGTATGGATAGTATGCTTTTGACTGCAATGGCCTATGACAGGTTTGTGGCCATCTGCCACCCCCTGCATTACACAACCATTATGAACAATCACCTCTGTGGTTTATTAGTTTTGGTATGTATTTTGATTAGTCTTTTGGACTCTCAGGTACATAATTTGATTGTGCTACAATTTACATATTTCAAGGACATGCAAATCTCTAACTTTTTTTGTGACCCTTCACAACTTTTAAATCTTGACTGTTCGTTAATGTTTACCAAAAACATAATCACACATTTGTTTGGTGTTTTTTTAGGTTTATTTTCAACCTCAGGGATTCTTATATCTTACTATAAAATTATTTCTACCATGCAGAGACTTCCATCAACAAATGGAAAATATAAAGCCTTCTCCACTTGTGGGTCTCACCTTTCAGTTGTTTGCTTATTTTATGGAACAGGCATTGGAGTATATATTGGTTCAACTGTATCAAATTCTCCTGAAAACTGTGCAGTAGCTTCACTGATGTACACAGTGATCACACCTCTGATGAATCCTTTCATCTACAGCTTAAAAAACAAGGACATTAAAAGTTCCCTCTGGAGGTTTCAGAAAAGAACAACATGCTTACCTAACTCCTTCCATCATTTCTGAAGATTGAGTTGTGAATCCAACTATCTACACCTAAAAATGAAACCTCTTTGGTGTTATGACTTTTATCTCACTCCACTAATACTTAAATGTATATTTCTTCTCGTTGTCTTTAATTGAATAGAATAAGAAGGCCTAGAGCTTGTCTTCTCTTAAACATAAATAAATTAATACATTCAGGAGAACCATAATTTCCAAGTAAAATCCTGGATTTAGAGTGAAATAGTTAAGTTACTTTTACATTTTCACAATTTATACCCCTTTATAAAGTCCACATATACTTATTTTAAAATATATATTTAAGTTACTATATCCAGAGAATATACTCTGATAAATTGAGAGATAATTTTCTTTTTAAATTGGTCCTGGATGTCTCCAGATGTTTTACCTGTATCAAAATATAAATCTGCCTTTTTAATCACATCCTATCTAAAGATTCATTAGTATCATGTCAAATTCCTCACACAATGAACTCTTACTTTTTAAAATTAATTTAGTCTTACATTTGTATAGCAAACATTGCAAAAATAATAGGTCAATATCTAAATCAAGTATGATTATTAACAATGGACACAATATTTGCTAGATTGCAAATCTCTTAATTTCAATTCATAGTAATAAAAAATGTTCTCATGGTGAGTGTGGCATTATTTTACCTCCTCTAAAGTCCAATCCAATTGCATTGCTACTTCTAAATTTCAAAGATAGTTTTGTTTTGCTATAGACCTTGGTTACTGAATACCAGCAGCAAAGCATCTGTCCAACTCCTCCTAATATATTGAAGAGGAGTTTTAGCCATACATCACATCCATAATTGTTCTAAGGTATCTATTTTCCCTCTGAGGGGAAATCTCTGTGGTACCTGTTTTCCAGGCTTTCTAATTCAACATCAATGAGTTTCAACTGGCAAAATTGAGTTCCATATCCCAAGATATAGCCTGGACAAACTGCTAGAAATTCAGCCCTTGGCCAAATTAAGAATCAAGATGCTCACAGAGGTCTAGGAAAATTTTTCTTAAAAGTATTTTTTTATTTTAAATAGCTTGTTTTACATGTCAATCCCAGTTCCCTCTCTCTCCCCTCCTCCCGCACCCCCCACCATCCCCCCATCCTCCCACCCTATTGCCAATTCCTTCCACATAGGGTATATCTAGAGTCTATCATTTCATTCAGGGTAGGGTCCAGACACTTCCCTAAGAGTCCAGGCAGAGACATCAACCCTCTTTGTGTTATGGACACGTGATGTCTGTTAGTATTCAAGGGATAAACATTGATCCACTGCTCAGGACCCCATAAGTGGCCCAGGCATCCTCATTGACTCTCACATTCAGGGGTTCTGGATCAGTCCCATGCTGGCCTCCCAGCTGTCGGTCTGGGATCCCAGAGCTCTCCCCTGTTCAGATAAGCTATCTCTGCTGGTTTTGCCAGCCCATTCTTTGCCAATTTGTTCTTCGCTCCTCTCTCTCTGTCGCTGGATCCCTTGGGTTCTGTTCAGTATTTAACTGTGGGTGTTTGCCTCTGCTTCCATCAGTCACGTGATGAAGGATGGTTATAGGCATCAAGTTCACTATCAGGAATAGGCATTCGAGGTGGTCTCTACACTATTGCTTAGCTTGCCAATTGGTGTCATCCGTTTAGATCACTAGAGGTCAAGATGGTGCCTGATTTGTCTTCTAACATATGATTCCCTCTTCCCCCTATCCTACCCCTCCAGTCGACCTTCCTGTTCCTCCACGTACTACTCTCTCTTCCACTTCTCCCCTTCTCTATTTCCCAGGCACCCCTCCCCCCCATCCCTTGCTGTGTTTCCTATCTGTTCAGAGGATCTTGCCTCATTTCTCTTCTCTTGGGTACCATATATATCATTTAGGTTCTTCCCTGTTTCCCAGACTCACTGGCACTGGAATTGTAGGCTGATACTCCCCTGATCCAATTCTAAAATCCATATATGAGTGAGTACATACCATGTTTGTCTTTTTGTTACTGGGTTACCTCACTCAGGATGGTTTCTTCCAGTGCTATCCATTTACCTGTGAATTTCAAGATTCCATTGTTTTTATCTGCTGAGTAATACTCAATTGTGTAAATGTACCACATTTTCTCTATCCGCTGTTCAGTTGAGGGGCATCTAGGTTGCTCCCAGGTTCTGGTTATTACAAATAATGCTGCTATGAACATAGTGGAGCAGATGCCCTTGTTGTATGAATTTGCCTCCTTTGGATATATGCCTAAGAGTGGAATTGCTGTGTCTTGTGGTAGATTGATTCCCATTTTCCAGAGGAATCTCCATACTGCTTTCCAAAGAGGCTGTACGAGTTGGCACTCCCACCAGCAGTGGAGGAGTGTTCCTTCTCTCCACATCCTCTCCAGCATAAATTGTCTTTGGTGTTTTTGATTTTAGCCATTCTTACAGGAGTAAGATGGTATCTCAGTTTTTTTTTATTTGAATTTCTCTTATGGCTAAGGATGTTGAGCACTTTCTTAAGTGTCTCTTGGCCATTATAGCCTCCTCTATTGAGAATTCTCTGTTTAATTCTGTGCCCCATCTTTTGATTGGATCCTTTGGTGTTTTGGAGACTTGCTTCTTGAGTTCTTTCTAAATTTTGGAGATTAGCACTATGTCAGATGTGGGGTCAGTGAATATCTTTTCACATTGCGTGGACTGCCTTTCTGTCTTGTTGACTGTGTCCTTTGCCTTACAGAAGCTTTTTAGTTTCATGAGTTCCATTTGTTAATTGTCGATCTCAGTGTCTGTGACACTGGTGTTATGCTCAGGAAGCGGTCTCCTGTACCAACTCTTTGAAGAGTATCTCCCACTTTCTCTTCTAAAAGTTTCAGTGTGGCTGGATGTATGTTGAGATCTTTGATCCATTTGGACTTAAGTTTTGTACAAGGCGATAAACATGGATCTATCTGCAGTATCTACCAGTACCCAGTTATGCCAGCACCATTTGTTGAAGATGCTTTCTTTTTTCCATTGTATAGTTTTAGCTATTTTGTCAAAAATCAAGTGTTCATAGGTGTGTGGGTTAAAATCAGGGTTTTCAATTCGGTTCCATTGGTCCACCTGCCTATTTTTGAGCCAATACCAAGCTGTTTTCAGGACTATAGCTCTATAATAAATAGAGCTTGGAATCAGGTATAGTGATGCCTCCTGGAGTTCCTTTATTGTATAGGGTTGTTTTGGCTATCCTGGGCCTTTTGTTTTTCCATATAAAATTGATTAATGTTCTTTCAGGTCTGTGAAGAATTGTGCCAGAATTTTTATAGGGATTGCTTTGAATCTGTAGACTGCTTTTGGCAAGATTGACATTTTTATTATGTTGATCCTACAAATCCAAGAGCATGGGAGATCTTTCCATTTTCTGGTATCCTCTTTGATTTGTTTCTTTAAAGGCTCAAATTTCTTGATATGCAGGGCTTTCACTTCCTTGGTTAACATTATCCCCAGGTATTTGATGCTATTTATGACTATTGTAAAGGGTGAGGTTTCTCTGATTTCTTTCTCAGTCACTTTATCATTCCTCATTCCACCTCTCTGGGATATCATGCATCTCTCTTGGGAACCTCTCTGTTTCCGAGACTCACTGGCACTGATATTGTATTGTATTTAGTATAACACACATATTGGGCATTGTCTACAATCCCCAGGGACAAGGATCATAGAGCAAGCCAACCAAACGTCAAAAAACATGATCTCAAGGTTACGGGGCTCCACATTACCCCATAATCCTCCAACCCCCCCCCCGCCTTCTTGTACGATATGCTCTTTTCGTGCTAAATTTTCTCCAAGTAGATAAACATGGCAAGTCAGCCAGAGAACGCGTTTGGCACCCCCAGCCATCTTTCACATAACCACTTGCCAGATGGAAGGATCTGGTCACTAATTCCTGGCATTGACCGGATCCCATCCTGATCTGGGGCTGCAGCTCTGCTTGCATGTGTGATAAGGTTAGCGATGCTCCTTGCTGGCTACCCAAGAGACTTGTTAAGCATTCTTCTGCCTCCCATTAACCTAACATACCAGGTCAGGAGACCCCTCTCTGCTTGAGTCCGGATCGTCTGTTCTCTCCCCAGATGAAACTAAAACAGATGAGCCCAAATGTCAAGGTGACAAGGAAGAGACTACCTCATCAGCCTGGCTGCATTTTTTGATCCTTAAATTGTTCCTCCTTACACTGACCCCTTCTGTTCTCATGTCATCCCCAGTCCCCACCAAAAAAACCTAACCCACACGAGCCATGAAATTATACCTGGGTAGTTCTCTCAGAGACAAGAGATACAGCCTGGTATGCCTCTAAGTCCTGACACACTCCTTGGTGGCCAGATTCTTTCAACCCAGACCTTTGTAAACTTGCACCGAGTGCTAGAGCTCCTTGGGTCCCTGAGCAAATTTTTGATCAGGCCAACATGCCTTACATTCCCTTTATGTGCCCCATATATGCTGGATGCTCCCACCCTCAGAGACAAACTCTACTTAGGATCTACTGCGTCCATGTTTGCCCCAGCCCCCACCAGGACAACAATCTTCTTCATAGATGTGCAAACTCTTCGGATTTCTTTTGTCTGTCTTGGGGCTACGAGACAACCGGAGACACAAATTGGAATCCCACTTGTGATTGGGACTACATTACAGTTACAGTCTCCTACCACCAACCCCTCCCTCCTTGCATTAGCCAAATCTATGGTTCAACTTGCAGGTATCAGCCCCCTTTATATTGTCAGCTCGACTCTCCCTCACAAGGCTGGTGCAATCTCTTAAAAATCCGATTCACCACATCAGAATATCACACCCTAAACTGGTATGGAGGATACACTTGGGGCCTTTGACTATATAAAAATGATACGATGAAGGCCTCACCTTCTCAATTAAATTACTCAAAGAGATTTCCCCATATCCGTGGACCTCAGGTACTACTGGGCCCGGACTCAGTCTTGGGAGGAGGCCAGAGACCTCCTATCCTTAAACCCACCCCTGGCTTGCCAAACCCCACTGACAGATA